ACATGCGATAGTTTGCCGGTGTTTCAAATCGATATTTTTATCCTCACAGAAAAATATAATTTCAATTTTCCGACTCAACTGTGATTGACTTGATCCATAGTTAGAGTGAGATTGAACCAAAGACCTTATATGTATTCTAGAGCACCTCTAAAGACTCAAGACTTCACTAAACGCGCGCCTTAACTGACGATTTACTAGCGAACTATTTCTTTGATCTCTAAAGTCACAGGACACTGTCGAAACAATAAACGCTTTAAACTGGTAGTTCGATTTTTCGGGTTGTGACCACCACTTTGTAGACCAACTTGACGTTCTTCCGATGCCGTCGCTGTTGTGAGAGATCCACGACAACATTGACGTCGATTTATATCTCGACAATCGCGCGATTTCGACTCGCGATAGTGCTCCAAATCACCGGCTACTGTCGCGATTGATCCGGTAGTTCTGGTACTGAGCTGGTGGTCAGGCTATTCCACTGCAAGACGCTGTTTGGGCACTTTTTCTTTAAACTATGCACTTCTTAATTGTTCATAATCTTTGTCTACTTTTTGTTGTTCTCCTATTTCAGGTTCTTTAATGTAGAGAATACGCCACTTAGTATGTAAGGTTCCAAAATCGAGCCATCAACTAGTTCTGACGTGATGTCATTAGCCATCAGTGTTAAGGGTTGTGTCATCAGTTTGTGGAGGTTGGGAGGGTATTCTTTAGGCAAGTTTTCCTGTACTCTGTTGAACTCTTCTCTTCTTGCTTTCGTATGCAAACATAGGCATGCACCCTATACATGCATATACACATATATATATATACCTGTTTGTATATCTGCATATATGTACACACACGTATACAAACGTATACACACACACCCATGTATACACATAATGTGCATACACGTATACTGCTATTTGAATTGATGGTGATTAGTAGCTTGAATGTTTTTATTCTATGCAATTCATGTACGGCTTTAGCTTCGTCGTCCTAGTCATAATCAACATTTTCGCTTTGACATTTAACCCTATTGTGACCGTTCGAATGCCGAATACTCTCGAATACCGTAACCATCGGGTTTTGAATTTGGTGCGTAACCTATAAGCATCCAGGTTTGGAGCACATGTGTTTTTTTAGTTGCTAATGATTTTACACTAAGGGAAAAGTATTCATGAAAGATATCTTTGTTGGAAAATGCCTTTCACCTCGGACGTTTTTTCTAATTTTTCATTTTTTATTTTCTTATATGAAAAGTAAAATTATTTTTTACGAAAGTTGGCTCAATCAAGTAGAAACTAGAAGGTTGAGGGAAAATTCTAGTTTCTCAAACGTTTAAAATCCTTTCACGGAGCAATTGCGCGCCGGGCTTTGGATCCAAGGTTGACGACAGAATACAGAATTGAAGGAAAGTGTATTGATTCTCGCTGTGATGGGATTTAGTATATGTCGACATCTGTTTATTTTCTGTAATTATCGGTCTGAAATCACCTAGTGTCCTTGACAACTTGCCCATCTGTTGCGTGCTCGATGATTTGGCACACGCTGCTTTATTTAGTACCGTTATTGTAGTCACTTGCCTCTATACTTTTATCTTTTCATATTCCTTAACCCCTAATTCCGTAACCTTCCAATAACCTTTACTACGATGATGGTTTTCATCACTCTCACTGTTCAATGCTTTACAAGTTCTTCACTTTTTTATTCAAATTTCTCGCTCATGGGTTTGATTCAGTTCGTTTTCCTTTCTGTGGCGTTATTTTTGTCCTGACACGACGATATCACTTCCATAGAAGTGATAAAGGATAAAGCATCAATCATTGAGGGGTGCGCCATGAATCCTACTTCACTAAGTACGGTTATAGGTGGTTGAATTGGCTTATTTGCTTATTTGGCTTGTATATTGACGCGTTGTGGCCCACCGATGTATGGAGTTATTGCTGTTAGCCACCCAGACATGTCTAGTACCAATTCTCCGACCCCAGAGCAACTGAGGGTTTGCTGCACCTAAGGGATCGCACCCTTAGTGTATTGCAGCGCACCTTTATAGAAGTCATGCGACGTAGAAGTGATGACTGCTGTCGTCTTTAAATCAACATATCTCAAGTCATTGCGAATTTTATTAGTTGCTGTGAATCTACTAGAATACCAATTTTTTGTCTGCAGGATGAAAGATCTTTATTAGTTACTTTGATAGTTGGATGGCTTGTTCTCACTAGTTGTGTGGACCCCAGCATAATCTCCGCTTTTTCGGAGTTTTACTGGTTTAGCCATTGTGGTTATCTGGAGTTCCGAGGTCAGCCTGGCCGAAGTCTGCCTCAGGTGGCCACTACCACAAGCAGTCGTCTCTCTTCTGGATCAGAGGGAGATTTGTCACCGCGGGACTGGTTTGGTATTAGCTACGTTTCATCATGAAAACGTTCCTGTTTTATTAATATGAATTGCTCATTTTCTGGAGTTTACGACATATACTGCATCCACTTTTTTGTTTCAGGGCTCATATTCCGAAAACGAAATTGAATTAACAAACAGGATTTCGTTTAGGAGTAGGCGATGGTGTTCTCCAGTAAATCGTTTACTCCCAACTTTCCAGTTTTCTATTCTAACGGTGCTACTAGCAAACTGGCTGAGAGAAAGGCAAAGCAAAAGTTTCGGTTAGTGCACAGAATAATGCGTGAGTCACCAGAAGGGGTAACGGTGGGTTCGAAGCGCATTTAAGGTTCCAAGGCCCGTATCTCAGCATCATTGTGGTTCAGAGAACACATATAGAAATAATATATGAGATTATTGCAATAAATTAAAGCCTTTTTTTTATGAATCTACAAGATTATGAACTCCTAAAATGCTTGACTGGTTAAGAAATTCTTGCCAGATTCCAAAAAATTAGCTCCATCGCAGACGTATTGGTATGAAAAAGAAAATAACACTTGTTAACCGTTGAGGCCATCTTTGTTTCAACAATAAAAATAAGATAAGTAACAGGTTGGTGATATTCACCTAAAATGTTTTAGTGCTGACGTGCTGTTGGTTGCAGTGTTTACTCTATATTTACTTTTTTATTTACTGCCTACTGAAATTTTCACGGCAGGGTGTTATGCGAAATCAACCGCAACGATGCTTAGACCACGGGCCAGATCGAACCACGAGTTCCTCTTCCAGGGACTTACGCATTACACACTGCCCCAAGGAGGCTCTTGCTCTTCGTTTCTGTCAGCTAGTTTTCTATCTAGCAGTGCCGTCAGCAATCACCCGTCAACGGGACTGATCTGGGGAGCCCATATCGGCATTGAACCCACTATTCAATATTTATTTCTTGTTTACCTTTTGTTATATTTACTTACTTATCACTCGTTACATTTTTTGTTTATTTTTAACTTTTGAAAGAGAGCGCAGGGTTATGTAAATTAGTTGAAACCAAACGAATAAAGGAATAAATGAGATTGAAAATATTCAGTTAATTCTTCCTGTTGCTAGATTATTTTTGTCATTTTTCTTGACTTTTTGTCACAGTAATAAAATAACAAGATTTTCTTAATCTCGACAGTGTTTCCATTTTTTTTTGTTTTTATTTATTGATTTGCTTTTTTGATCTAAAGCTAGAATAGAAAGCTCTCGGTGTTGATCAATTCTTTAGTGATGCTCTCTGCATACAGCTTCACCAAGCATCGTTGGAGGTGATTGAATGACCTCTACAATGACCCGAGGTGGCCGACCGATATATCGAGCAGTGATTCTATCCTCACAAACAAGTCTGGTGCCAGTTTACCAACTCCGAAGGGATAGAGGGCTTGAATAGCCATGGGCGCGAGAAACAGTCTTATGTGTATTGCAGGGCGCCTCCGACCGCTGCGCCACACGCACCTTTGAAGCTAGGAACTCGAAGAATATACAGCAAAAAGTTTTTTGGTCAGCAGCTTATCAGAAGGAAGCCTTTGAATGCGAAAAACCAATGAATAAATTTGAATGAAACTGTTTGCTGATGAATCGGTCTTTCATCGGCGAAAATTATTCAGCCACTGTTTTCATTAGCTGACAATTCACATTCCAATCATTGTTGTCGAAGTAACGAGAGTGATAAAATCCATATGATAAGAGTTTTTTGGAAGCTGATTTTCATCTTCATTTTCATTCATTTGATTCATTTTCATTTAATCATGGTTAAATCTTGCTATATTCATAAGCTTGACCAACATCTTTTTGTATTGACAAAAAACCACAAAGAAAAGCTTTTGCAAAAATTTCATGTTAGAACGTGACTGCAACAAGATATGACTTTTGATATGTTTCTTTAACTTCTTTTTCGTTCTTAATCAAACATTGGGCGCGTGTGGCGCAGTGGTCGGAGGCGTCCTGCAACATATACGTGCGATCGATCCCCGCGCCCATAGCCCACCGAGACTTCCTTCTCTCTTGGGTCGGCAAATTGGTACCAGAATTGCCTGGGTGGATAGCAGCACTGGCCCGATACATCGGTGGACCACCAGGAGTCATTGTAAAGGCCAGACATGCATTCAATCACCTCCAAACGATGCTTAATGAAGTCGAATGCATGGGGCAACATCCCTCAGGGATTGATCAACACCGTGATCTTTATCCTTTTATCTTTTAGTTAAACATTTTTATTCGAAGAGAACGAGATTAGACTTTGTTAAAAAGTCGATAGAGCTTAGATAAAAACACTGTATCCTTTAATTCCTGGTTTAATTGATTTTTCCTTCTTTCGTATGAGATTTCTAACGTTGTGTCATGCCGTTTCCATCTTATTTATTCTCTCACAAACCTTTGTGTGACTAGTGTTTCATGGCATTTTATTTGTTTTCCATGAAATTTGAGACGGATGTTCAGGAATTTTGCCGAAGATTATCGATATATCGATCGATAAAACTACTGTAAAACTTTTTTTATTACTTGGATACTCTGCACTAATTGTTGAAATTGCAGCTGTTTTGGTTCTGAATGATCGTAGTTCTTCATAATTCTTTCATTCAATAGCTAAAATTGAACAATTACGCGTTTAACTAAATGGCGTCTTTAGTCTCATTGCTTTAGTCGTGAATTTTAAACCCTTTGCGCTTTGTGCTGAAAGTGTTACAGTGGTCACAAGTCTACATTATCATTTCAGGACATCTCTATGGGACACCGCGACCAGAGGAATGTTATGAAGAAGCAACGATGGTGAATTACGGACATAAAGGACCACTACCGCCCAACTGGGAGATCGGTTACGCTGAAAATGGCGACAAATACTTTATTGAGTCAGTTATCCATCATGTTTCTCCATTATTTCATCGATTTCTTCTATGTTAATCAATAACATAGATATTTGTCGGCTTGCTATAGGATTTTCTTTAACATAAGCATCTCAGTAGTTTGGTCGTTGGCAGAAATAAGTTAGCTCAATTAGGAGTTTTACCAATTCTTTAAGAAATACTTCGAAATGACCTTGTTCAGTGAAGAATTTGATCAATATATGTGTATTTTTTTAATCCTTTTTTGAATCTGTATCTAATGTCTTGATTACCTTGTTGACTTACTTATTCCGATAACTGGATAGCTAATCTTCACTGGTTGCGCGAGCCTCAGCATAAATTTCACTGTTTCGGAGTTTTGCTGCTCAGCCACTGTCGTTCCCTGGATTTCGAGGTCAACCAGGCCAAAGTCTAAGTCGTCCCAGGTCGTCACCACCACAGGCAGTTGCTGCTCTTGTGAATAATAGGAAGATTTGCCACCAAGCGATTAGTTTCTAGCTGGGCTTCCTCATGGAGATACCGGACTCCTCAGTTTGGAAGACCCTGCTGGGAGACTGAATACCCCCGCTGTAGATCGTAGTCCAACACCCGAGAATACCTCCCGCCCACGATGAGGCAGTAAACCGTCGGAATTTTTCCACCGTCCAGCTAGGAATGCTATTGTTCATCCCATTAGTGACGGAATTTAACTCAGTGAAGCTCCCTTTCCTAAGACGAGCTGAAATCAAAGTTTCCCATTTCTTTTTACTGCCTTTATTTTTAAAGGATGTAGCGCTGATTACAAAAGTCTATAGATAGTCGTTTTCTACTCAGTTAAATTTTCAATAACCTTTCCATACCTTTATGGTTATGGTGGTTTTCGTAAACCAAGTAATTTTAAATCCCACGACCAACTTTCAATTAACCTCGGCATTGATCAACTAATTCTACATATTCTTCGTGAGCAATTGCGAGGTGTTATTTTATTATTTATTCAAGAACAAGTTGACGTTTCGGTGGATTTCGCCCTCCTCAGAGCCTGGAAAGTTCAAGTTGAAAGCAATCTACCCGCCGAACACCTCCATAACCAAACAGAAAAAACGTTAAACCAAGATTTCAATCACATTGAACACAGAATAACTTCTTTGCACACTCATCGCTTCCTATGAGTCTTCCACTGAATATTTCACGTGGAGACCAACCACACAGAAATCATATGGAATCGTAATGTGCCCATTCCATCAGAATAACAGGCTTATATGCTGCCCAATGTCACACGTGATAATGAGGTATTTCTCCCTGCGGTTCATTTCCGGGTTCTTGAATCAATCCAGAATGCTTCGAGAGTTTTGTGCGCTTGTGTTTTTGATTCCTGTGCGCGGATCGTGACCTGTACTTCAAAGTCCTCCCCGTTATGTCTCTGCGCCCTATGCGTACCTAATGGAGTTTGGTTTAAGTATACCGACTAGCTGTTCTTTTATGCGGACACAGAGGGGTCTACTCCTTTCGCCAATGTATTCGTCTCTGCACGATTTACAAGAGATCAGACACACTGTAGCCGAACTCATGCAATCATCGTCTCTTGGGGCAAATAATGCAATTTCGCATTGCACATAAACGGTCATATAGGCAGTTGCGAACTAGCTGGCATCTTAGATTACTCTGTTGGATTTCGATTATCGTTACCGAATTCTCTAGACGGGCCCTTCTTAAGCAACGTTTTATAGCTGCACTTACTTCATTTGAAATGAAGGGCAGGGTAAACGGGACCTTGTTGTCGCTAGAGTTACCGTTTGGGAGCCTGGGATTTCCTCTACACCTATCGTTCTTCCTATGCACATGCTGGTGGCTGTTTAAAACATGTTTCTCACAAGTGGCCTTTTCGTGTGAAAGCGGTGAAAGGGAGAGGAGAGGTAATGAACCAAGATGTTTCTACTACTTGGCTTTCGGTACCACTTCGTAATGTAGCCGTTTTTTGATAGGTTGCACGTTAAGGAATGGCAGCCATTTTTCTTTCGGTTTCTCTCGGGTGAACTCGATATACTCTGACTGTTTATTCAACAACTCGAAACATTTGTCCATTTCCTCTTGTGTTGAGAAAAGGACAAATCAGTCATTTATGTATCTACAGTAGAGTAGCGGCCCGAGATCATTCACCGGTGCTTCCAATTTAGACATAAACGCAATGGCAAGACTTGGTGCCAGTCGTTGTTCCTTTGCCAACCCTCTTATTTGAGCGTAGTACTTTCTGGGCCATCTCAAGCTTGAGCAGCTCTTTTAAGAGTGCCATCAACTGCTCTATCTTGAAGCCATACATGTTTATTTCTCCTTCGTGTTCTGTAAGGAGTTCGACTATGGCTTGCGTAGCGGAGTTGTTCGACACGTTTGTATAGAGAGGGTGGTGACGTCGAAGGACTCCATTACGTACGCGCTGTTAGGTCGCGCGTTACGTAGACGATCCAGGAACATCTGGGTGTTCGTTAAATGGGTTGGAGTGTGTTTTAACAACTGGGTAAATATTAGGGTTTAAAACCATGTTATCCTATCCGTTGCTAATGTTTGGTCTAACCTTAAACAATGATGGATCGGTAGACGCAAGATCATCGCTGGGTACTAACTTATGACTTTTTATAAGCAAGTACAAGGCGGGACATGTTGGTAAGTTAGCTTTGGCTTGAGAGATAATTAATGTTTTTAACCCAGCCACTCTTCCCATTTTAACCCATTTGTTGTTTAACTTTCGGTGTTGACTTTTAAATTCATCCTCAGAAGTTGACGATAAAGGGAAGCGTCTTCAAGGTGATTTTTCGTTATTTCAACGTTTGACTGATGGGGAATTACAACAAACTCTCCACCGTTGTCAATAACTGATAGTCCTATGTTTTTCAACCTTATCAGCTCTCGTACCTCCCGCATACCACGTTTTTGTATTTCAGTGAGGTTGGAGCAGTATCTTTTCGCGCGATAATGGTTAAGGACTTTGAAAGTTTCAGTCGTAAATATCCGAAATTTAATGTCTACTTCATTATTGGGTTCTTGTTGTCTAAAGAACGGTTGAGGAAATGGTGGTATTGGTAGCGCCCTGCTTGTTGTTGTTGGCGCCTATTTAGTGCTTCATCCCTAGCTTTTTTGCGGAGTCTATCTTGAAGTTCATGTAAACTACATGCGACCCTACGCAAGGTTACGGATTCCACTGAGTATGTCGCGTGAAAACCAACCGCACAGAATCCACGTGGAAGCGTAATGTGCGTCTCCCATCACAGGCTTATATACTGCTCAATATCACGCGTGTTAATGAGGTATTCTTCCCCGCTGCTCATTTTCGGATTTCTGGAATTAATCCAGAACACCTCCGGAGTTTTGCGCGCTTGTGTTCTCGATTTTTGTGCGGAGGTCGAGACACGTACTTCGAAGTGCTCCTCGTTATGCCTCTGGGTTCATTGCGTGCCTAGGGGGGTATTTGGTAGACGTTTGCCGGCTAGGTGCGGAATTTTATGCGGAAACAGAGAGGTCTCCCGTTTCGCCAATGTTATTCGTCTCCACATGCCTTCGAGGAGATCAGATAAACTCTACCCGAGCTCCTGTAATCACCATGTGGGGCAAATTATGCGATTTTGCGCTGCACATAGACAGTCATATAGGCGGTTAGGAACTAGCTGGCGCCTAAGATTACTCGGTGACATTTCAGTTATCGTTACCGAATTTTCTAGACCCGCCCTTCTTAAGCAACTTTTTTATAGCTGCACTTACATAATTCGAGATGAAGAGTAAGATAAATGGGACCTTCTATCGCTGGAGTTGTCGCTTGGGGGCCTCGGATTTTTTCTAAACGTATCCCCATCTGCAGTTTCGTAGCCATTATAAATGGCTATTTTGCCGTGCCAAGTTCTGGGACTCCTCTCTCTGCTCTCTTCCCGTGCACACGTTGGTTGCTGTTCGAAACATATTTCTCACAAGCGCCCTTTTCTTGTGAGAGAGGTGAGAGGAAAGGTAATAAGCCAAGATATTTTTACTACTTAGCTTTCAGTACCACTTCGTAATGTAGCCATTTTCTGACCGGTTAATTTGGGCGTTCAGGAATGGAATCCATTTTTCATCTAGTTTGTCTCCGGTGAACTTGATATACGCTGACTGTTTATTCAACAGCTCGAAACATTTGACCATTTCCTCTTGTGTTGAGCAAAGGACAAAACAGTCACCTATATATTTACAGTAGAGTAGCGGCCTGAGATGAATCACCAGTACTTCCACTTAGACATAAAGCAATGGCGAGACTAGGTGCCAGTCGTTGTCCCATTGCCAACCCACTTATTTGAGCGTAGTACTTTCCTGACCATCTGAAGATTGAGCAGCTCTTTTAAGAGTGCCATAAACTGCTCTGTTTTAAAGCCATACATGTTTATTTTTTTTCGTGTTGTATAAAGAGTTCGAATATGGCTTGCAGTGCGGAGTCATTCGACACGTTTGTATAAAGGGCGGTAACGTCGAAGGACTCCATCACGTAAGCGCTGCTAGGCTGCGCAGTACGTAGACGATGCAGAAACATCTGGGTATTCGCAAGATGGGCTGGAATATGTTTCAACAACTGGTTAAATATTAGGTTAAAAACCACGTTATCCTATCCGTTGGCCCGTCTACACAGCTAATGATAGGTTTAACCATAAACAATGATGGCTCGGTAGACGCAAGATCATCCCTGGGTATGGGTGGGTAACTTATAAATTTTTATAAGCAATTACAAGACGGGACATGTTGGTAAGTCAACTTTTAGTTGAGAGATAATTGATGGTTTTAAACCAGCAGCCCTTGCCGTTTTAGCGCATTCATGGTTCAATTTTCGGCATTTGCTTTTAAATTCTTTCTCAGATGATGGGCGGTAAATTGAAGCATCTTCAAGATGCTTTTTCGTTATCTCAACATCTAACTTATGGGGAATTACGACACTCTCCACTCTTATCACTAAAGGATAGTGCTGTGTTTTTCAACCTTATCAGCTCTTTTACCTCTCGCTTACCACGTTTTTGCGCTTCAGTGAGGTTTGAGCTGTATATTTTCGCGCGGGAGTGATTGAGGACTTTGAGAGTTTCATTCTTAAAAACATTCGAAATTTAGCATCAACTTCATTATTGGGCTCCTGTTATCTAAAGAACGACTGAGGAAGTTGTGCTATTGGTAGGGCCCCCACATGGTGTTGTTCGTGCCTATTTAGCGCTTCATCTCTAGCTTTTTTGCTGAGTCTATCTTGAAGTTCATTTAAACTGCATGCGACCCTACGCAAGGTTATCTTAGAAATGAGTTCAGAAGGTGAGAAACCCGGTCCCAATTCCAATAACGAGCGCACACCGTCAGGGAGAGTCATGTCTCCTAACACGGTTAGCCTTGAATTTTCTTGCACATTACCTATCCTACTGTGACCTGTTTGATGTTCGTTAGCGATATTTCTGTGCGCTATTGAAGTTGTGTTATGCGATTTACTCAAAAGGTCTTCGAATTATCTTCGCAAAGTTACTTTAGCATTTGACCCAATAGAGTTGCAAATCAAGGCTGACCTACCCACTGTCCTCCTCCAGAGGCGGTCCTCCAAATAGTGAGCACAAAAGTTTTCCTTCGTCTCGCACTTCTTCCACTTGGTGAAGGTTTGGTTTTGTCGGCTTCGTAGACAGGTGCGTAATATTCGCAATTCGATGTCCGTTACTCGGTGACTGTTCTCCGGTAGTCCGCATACGTCGTGTCTTCGTTTGGTTTTTTTATATTGATTTGATTTTACAAGTCGGAAGTATCTTGCTGGTACATCTTGCAGTAACTTCAATAAACTCATACTTTATTCTTTTTTCTTCCTTTTTTCTTTATGTGAAAATATGCACAAAAGGGATTGGTGGTGCTATGGTTATTTTATCTACCAACTACAGTGCTAAGTGGATTACTCGTCGGTTTCCCTAGTTTTCCCTAGGTTTTTCGTAATCCAGTATTTTTTCTGCATGTTTTTTTTCCGTTTCTTATTGTCCTTTATACTGAAGTAGTTGCATTCGTTCTGCAATTATTTGTATATTATGTCTTATGTAATTTTATAGGTGGATGTTGCATTAATATTCTTTCAAATCGTAATCCATGCATATGGGACGGATAGCGCACTGGGAGTGATGTCGGTTATCATGAGCATAGTGCTAGTTCGATTCCGTTCTGAACCAAACAAGCCTATTGTCCCTACGAGGTCGGGAAATTGGTACCGGACTTGCCTGGGGAAAATTCATTCTCTGCAATCCAATTGGGAACGCTCCGACCCCGCTATCTCAGGACTCCAGGTAGAATCGATTCGAGCGGCATTCTTGGAAATTCAGCACGAAAAGAAAATCCTCAAGCAGCTACCGAAGCCACACCTAAAAGCTTGGAAGAGCTCCGTGGATGATGTTTGCGAGGAAACGAATCGAATGTGAGAAGTGCTGGATCCGCTCAGTATACGTGAAGACAGATCATATAGAATAAAAAAAAATCCGTCTATATTATTTTAGAACAAAGGAAAAAGGATAAAGCTTTGGATATTGGTTAATCTCTGAGGGAAATGCCATGCATTCGACATTATCTAGCTTCGTGAGTGGTGTATAAGTGCATGTCTGAACTATATAATTATATATCTATGTACCGATGTATCAAGTTAGTGCTTCTATTCTCCCAAACAAGTCTGGTACCAATTTCTCCACTCCGAAGAGATGGAGGAATTGATGAGGACGGGCGCAGGTTCGAACCAAAGACCACGTCCACGTATTTATTACAGGCCGCCTCTAACTACTCCGATACATTCCGCTCCATTTTATTGCTTATTAAAAACATATTATATTGTTATTACGTTTCGCACATTGTATGTCATGGTACAGCTTCTATTATTTAGTATTGTCATCCTTGCTATTTGTTCTTGTTTATTGATTATTTGTTCAGTTTTCACTACATTTGTTATACTGTTTCGTATAGTTTCCGGGGAATTATCTTTTATTTTATTATTTTTGTGTAATCCGGCTTGACTTCATGGTGCGAACCCCTGCACTTTTGTCGTTCGGTTCATTGTTTCGCATACATCATCTGTGAACGTCTCCGTATTTGCGTGTTGACTGCTATTAGAGAGCTTTGTCTTCTTCACGACGTCGTTGAATGCTGGTCATACTATTTCTACCTAAAATCCTGAGATAGCTGTGTTTGGCGGTTTCATGGTCGTCGGTCTCTTTGATATGATGGGAGTTTTTCCTAAATAAGTCGGTTACCTGTTTACTAACCTCAGAGGGGGAAGACTTGGTTGAGCCTGTGCTGGCTCGGACCACTGGTTTTGCGGGCTAGTATCAGTATCTTTAATCATTTTGCCACTTGTGACGATGTTTTCTCACTATTAGAAAATAACTTTAATATACTATAGCGTGTAGTCAAGTAGTTGTTCCAATTTTCAACTGTGGTACTGTAAATGTTTTTGGAACGAAAACGTTTTAACTGCTGCGGTCCGGAGTTTTGCAAATATCTCATCATCATTGAAGTTATATTTCGCAGTATACCCTGCCATCAAAAAGAGTAGGCAGTAAATAAAACGGTTAACGAAACGTTTTAATTTTAGCCACAACTCCGGCACGACTACATGGGAAGACCCGAGGGATTTACCACCAGGCTGGGAACAGGTCAACGACCCTGAATACGGAATCTTCTACGTCGAGTGAGTCCCGTTTATTTCTATTTTTAGGAATATGTTGATATTCTTCCTTTAGTTGCTTGTTCTTACGGGAGCATTTGTTCTTATTGGAGTATAACACACTGTGGCCGCCGTTTTTTGACCATACGATGGTAAAAAATCCAGGAACCTTTTTTCAAATTTAAATGCATGGGACCATTGGAATCATTGAACGAGATTACTTGATTTAACAAAAGAGCTGTGAATATGACTTTACAAAGATAGACTACCTCCTTTCATTCACCCTCATTATCGAACCTATTTATAATATAATGCCTCCCAACGGTTTACCGCCTCATCGTGGCTGGGAGGTGTTCCTGGGTGTCGGACTGCGATGTACAGCGGGGCCAAGGTCTCTCATGCTAAGAAGGAGTCCGGCGTTTCCATCAGCAAGCCTAGCTAAGAGTAAACCAATACCAGGATCCACCACCATCTGATCCACAAGGGCTGCGACTGCCTGTTGTGGTGACGACGTGGGGCAGATTTTGGTCAAGCTGTCCTCGGGATTCCAGGGAACCACAATGGCTTAACCAGAAAATCTCCGAAAATGGTGATTATGTTGGGACCCGCACATAGTGATGACGGGCCGTTCAAGTATCAAGTATCAATTAAGATATAATATAATGAGGGACTCTCTTAGCAGTTTCATTTGTTAATCTCTATTTGTCATCTTAAAAAAGCCTACGTAGGTACTCTGTTCCTGGGCAAGCCCTAGATTTCAGTAAAAAGATTTATTCAATTCTGACTGATGTTTCGGTGGTTTCGCCTTCTTCAGAGCTTGGATAGGTGAAACTGATAAGCAGTCCACTCAGCCAAACACTTTCTTTACCTAAGCGTAGTAAATTAAACACATAAATTTCGTTCGCAAAGTAAACAGTTTATTCTTATTTTGGACACTCACCGTTTTTTTTCAATAGTTTTCCAATTATTGTTGGAGACCAGCAGCAAAAATCCTACATCTGTGAGGAGGGTACCTGGAAAAACTGCCGTTTTTCTCCGTTCTACAAAGACTCACAAATTCCTTGGATATCCACTTGTTTCAGCTTAACGCAGACAATTTAATATGTGATGTTAGAGGTTTTTTAGTGCTGCATTCAGAGTCGATTTTTTAAAAGAAGATCCGTTTACTTTATGCTTTGTCACATCCTTGTCGATAAGTCCTCTGTCTATAATCTTATTGTTTACAGGTTTATTGTCTTTAGCTCACTGATTCACAGTTGTCACCAGAACTGTTGCTGAAATCCTTGTTGAAGAAATTACGTCTGCTTCAAAAGAATACTTGGAAAAAATGTAAAAAAAGTGGTATTCCGCCCTATCATTGGCTGTTGCAAACGTTTGACTACATTCCATTCACATAGTAGAAAGGTTACCGAATCTTAGAAGTAATTCGTCACATCCATCCGGAAGCCCATCTAAGAGTGCATATCGCACGATGGAACTCCGTAAGCGACTTGTAGCTGTCTTCATACCAGAAACAGTGGAAGTGAAAGCCACCACACCAAAAGTGTGGTGTTCTTGGTTTCTCTTTTTTCATAGGCAAATGGAGACTTTGTGGTGCTTGCTTAAGTTACTCGATTACTAGTTGAATTAAAAGTGCTAAGAATTCGTTAATTCCTCAATTCACTGTTTCCTTCCTCAGCGTTCAGAACACGTGTTTTAGCGCAATAAATTATCATAGAATACCCTCCTTCAGTCCGCTTAGGAGCTATGATTGTTTTTAAGGCAGACCCTTATTGCAGTAACCATTTGACGAGTTTTTGCATTCTTTTCTTTTGGAATTTCCTTTATAACCTGGATGGACTACATTAGTAGGTGGTGATAGACATATCGTCCCAAGATTCCAACAGCATTGAATTATTTTTGAAGCTTATCTGTTTACTTGCTCGCCACCTGTCGAATGACTTTTGTTGAGAATCGCGATTGTGTTTTTAACTGGTCAGCTATTTTAATCCATCACATCGCAGTACTTGTCGGTTGATTGATGCGACAGCGTGGAATGTCGACACAATTCGAATTGTTTCAAATGTAAGGAAAAGTCTTTTCACCAACCACGTCTTTTTCTTGTATTAATCACTGAGTTGTTTCTTCTTTTGGACGTTCGATCGCTTTTTGAAAAATTGTGTTCTATTCTGTTTGTCTACAAGGAGACCAATTAACCTTTTACTGTCGACTTTTCGAGCTGATAAAGTCATGTCCAGCTTTTCAATTTTGCTTCTTTATATACTGTTATAAACTGATCTTCTTCAGCTGATACGAGATTGGTATAGGTTTTCGTTGTCGTTGTCGTTGTTGTTGGCGTTGTTGGTCGATGGCTGACGTCGTGCTACCATCGCCAACGCACACCGTAGCTCCAAAGTGTCGATGAGGAACCCCGCTCGGCGTTTTCGAACCGTTCGCTTAATTTCTTCTCTATTTCTGTATAAAGTCCCACTCGTAACAGCACAGCTATGAGGAAGGCGAAATCGCCGAAACGTTGGCCATCGACCAACAACACCAACAACAACAACGACAACGAAAATCTATACCAACGTCGCATCAGCTCAAAAAGATCAGTTTACAAGATCATATAAATAAGTGTATCAACTATTTATACGGAACGTTGTAGAAACTCGGTCTTTTGAGTTCTCAATTTTGCTTGTTGAAATAGCATAGACGTGACTGGCTAAAATTTTCTTTGTCTAATATCTGTTCACATTTTAGTTGCACTGCTGTTAGCGTTGACTTCAATGCCATACCTGCTGAAAACAACATTCTCAGCTCTATACAAAGATGTCTCGTCTGGGAGCAAGTTAATTAAATTAGGTGAAAATCAATACTATCTAAAGGTTTTTGTCAATAAGACATATGTTATCATAACCTTTTAAGGTGAAATGTTGGTTTTTTGAAGTCCGTAGTTGGTTTTTCTTAGTAGTTTTTCATTCGCTAGCTTTTATGTTTAAAGCAACAAAGCGAACTTTGCCCTTTCGCTGTTTCAAAAGCGTACATTTCGATATCGCTCTTTGGATGATTCCGACATAAATTTAGACAAGGGATAATGTTCTACGGGATAAATCAATCCCTCATTTAAAGTTGCCAACCGTTCTAAGCTCTTTAAATGCTCTGCTTACCCGAAAATGATTGGCTATTCTCTGAAACTTTTTTCTCTGAGCTTCCACTTTTTTCAGGATTAGTTTAAAGAAAATTTCATTCGAGATATTGGTCACTTAAAATACGTATAGAGTTGAGAGGAGCACGATTCACGGCGCTCGTCAAGACTTGCATCAGTCAAATTAGGCCGTATGCATCTTATCGGGTCTCCTTCTGAATGGACTGAATAACCAAATGACTCATCTTAGTAGGAATGGAATCGACCGAAGGCGTATTTGTGTATGTGGTGCAAATCTCGTTATGGACTAACAGACTAGCCTAATCTACAGCCTAACCGAACAGCTTCCACAGGACACACCCCTCCATCTCTAGCCACCATCACGCTGCCCTATTGATCTTAAGCTAGGCGTCGTGTTTAAAGAACTCACTATTACTCGTACTTGCTGCGGTTTTTGACAAACTTACCACTATTATGACAGATGTCTTGTAGTGGTCTTGAGCGAGTCAACTCGTCCTACCAGCTGTTTACTGTAAGCGAAGGCATCGTACAGCGTAGTGCGTTCAAAATCGTCACATGATGAGTTGAGTGGCGTCGTCAGTCGAATGCAGTCGTCCGAGTTTTGTGGTCCAGAACTCATCTCAAATGTCATCTACTTCAACGCCACCAATGCCACCAACACCTCAAACGTCGCCCACACCATCAGCACTGACATCCATGAATGCAACAGTGACAGGTGGAAATAATAAATAAGAATCTAATAATAATCCTTGATCGTTGTTCGTGATCACGAGGAGTTTCAGAAGATTTTTCGAGACCTATAAAATTTACCAACTTGCCATAGTTTGCCTTCTATTCCACTTACGGTGCAGATTAAGGAAAAAGATGTTTATCTTCTTCTCTACGTGACTTTTCGTGGTTTTAGTGATGACTTGGTGTACTTCTAGAACATTTAAAGGTTCATAGCGATACCACAAGGTCATCATTTCATCTACTGTATTCTTTTTCATGGCAGAGTGTGATGTAAAGTACAACCACAAGAATGCTAAGATATGAGCAAAGCTCGGAACCTCTGCGGGGCTTCGAAACCGTGCTTACTCACCTGGGGCTCATATGCTATCCACCACACCACCAGAAAGTTTGGTTTGCCTTTCTCTCAACCATGTTTTTACTCTATCCTGCTCGGCAAAAATATATGGATATCTATGACTAAATCTATTATTATATATTATATTATATTATTATTACATTATATTATATTACTTTATATTATGTATACATATAAATGTATATTGTGTACTATGTACCATCATATACTATGTTATATATTTACATCTCATTTTATAATTTTATAAAGATATATATTGTGAAGCTTGAGAGAAAGATCTGAAATACTTTTAAAGTCGATAACAAAAAGTTCCATAAGTAATGGACCTCTCCTAGACTTTCTTCCACTTTTCCATTTTCACACAATCACCCTTATTTATTTATTATTTTGATACTTGAATACTTGGACGGCCCATTCTCACTAGTTGTGCGGGTCCCAGCATACTCTCCACTTTTCGGATTTTGCTGCTTTAGCCCCTTTGTGCTTACCCGAAATCCCAAGGTCAACCTGGCCAAAGTCTGTCGCAGGTCTTCATCACCACGGGCAGTCGCAGCTCTTGTGGATCAGAGGGAGATTTGCCACCATGCGACATTGATACCAGGACGGTGGTGGATCGTCTTCGTTTACTTGGTTTATTCTTAGCTAGACTTCTTGATGGAAACGCCGGGCTCCTCCTTAGCTTGGAAGACCCTGCCAGGGATGTATCCCCCGCTCTAGATCGCGGTCCGACACCCAGGAACACCTCCCAACGACGATGAGGCGGTAAACCGTTAGGAGGTATTTGTTTATTACTTTTATTGTTTGTATATTCTTGTTTTTATTAGAATTTTTCATCGTTTCTCACAATCTATCTATTTGAAATGTTTCAAAAGATAATTTCTTCTGCATAAATGTGAAACGTTTGGAAACATTTCTTCATAAATAAATTTATCCCTTAAGAAGAAGCTACCATTTATTTCTTATGCTTTTGTTGCACTAGTTTTTCTATGCTTTCGAAACATCTTTGTTTTCCACTTGAGAAGCTGGGCTATTTGGTTAGTTAGCCCTTTCTGGATACTGCCGTGTTCCTTTTGCAGAAACCGGATGTGTCTAATTTGTAGTTACCTATCAGTTCTCAAAATTGCACCAAAATTACTTTCGTTTTGCCACCAATTTACGTACCGTTTTTATTTTTGTCTGTTACTACTATGCCTCGAAGTCCTTTTCCGAACTGTAGTGACCGAATTCACATTGGTGGGTTTTAGAAAACAGCTGTAATACCAGCACCAGATGCACCAGAATGTTGTGCTCAACGGGGATGTGAAGAAGTTATTAGATCATATAAAGATAAAGAGGCGCAGCTCTCGAGAAAGAGCTGACATATACAAGTCAATCACATTAGTTGGCTCATCATCGCAGGATATCGACAACGTGATATCGACTTTCTCCTCAATAATATACATCTTCTAACTTTTTATTTACTATTCATTTACCATTTCTTTACCTGCTTTATATTTTTGTATGGCAGTTTATTCTGTAAAGTACAACCACAATGATCCTAATATATTTGGAAAACTCGGAACCCTAGTTGAACTTCGAACCTGCGATAACCCTTTCTGGGTAGCCACATGTTACCCACTGCACCACCGAAGCCCTTTGCCTTTTTGTCAGCGAGTTGCCCTAACGATGCTATTGACAATCAGCTGTCAACGGGAATGATCAGATGGCAAATGTCTTATTTTCTTTTAGTTGAAACATAGCTAATTAGGAATGTCTATCTGCGATATTTCCAGTCATATCAACAAAAAAACACAATACGAGCGACCGAGTACGTCGGTGACGGTGATGTCACGCTATGATCAGCTTCCTACAACTGCGAGCGGTCACAAGGCGAACGGGGTCAGTGGATAACGTTCAAGATTGTGTTCTAACCTATTCGCTACGCTAAGGCAGAAAAGCTTAAGTTCAGTTCCACTGCTTTTCACTCTGATAGCTTAGATGCTTTGTTCTTCATAACTACTTAGAGGTGTTTGTTTTGGTAGCAATTAGCGAATCCTGTAAGTGATTCTATCAGCATGTAGCCGGAATTTGTTGCTAGAGCTGTTACTTATTAAAATCTACGTCCAAAAACAGTATCCAAATTACCTTTGCAATCATCTAATTTTACCATAACCATTTCAGACCTTTCTAATGCGAGAGGTTAATTTACACTATAACTTTTCCACTTCTGGTACGATTTGTGTCCATTCAGATCACTTCCAATGGTCACCACCTGTCACCACAACACCAACAACGTTCTCGTCTACCAACGATGCCTTCGACAACGCACATCAACGGTGATAATCCGTATTTTACGCGTGATCCACAGCAATTACGTGGTGAAATGGTGACCACTACCATCGTCAAAGGTCCTAAGGGTCTCGGTTTCACTCTAATCGGAAACGACGCATCCAGCAAAGGAAACGAGTTCATCCAGGCATGTTCTTTGCATCTATCATCGTGGTTTACTACTCTAAAGCTGAAGTTTCGTTTTTTGAGTACTATCGACTACTGCAAACGTTTTTTTCAAAGCTACGGAGAAATTGATTTCGGTGTCAGCTTTCCAAGAAAAGGTTCTGAGATGCCTTCTTTTTATCAGCTACTTTGAATCCCAGCTCTATGTCGCTTTTCTATTAGAGGTAGATTTTTGTAATCTGAGCAAGGATTATTGCCTTCACAGATTTACGAGCCCTTTGCTGTCCTTGCTCGTTTTATGGTTTGTAACTTTGCTGTTAATATTGTGGCAACATTTTATCTAAAAATAATACTATTATTCCTTCTCGAATTTTTTTAAACGCTCTCTCCTTGATTATCTCTATGGCTCCTCAAGGAATGCATTAAGCTGGTAATGAGTTTAGAGATCTGTAAGGAAATACGAAATCACGAAAGGAAATAAGCTTTCTGTCAACCAGCATTCAACTATTCTGTTACAGGGAAGGAAAAGAACTATCTGAGCTATTATGAGCTATTTCAGTTTGAAACTACCTGAGCCCTTATAATCACCTCAGATATTGTTTTTGTTGCACTACCCTCGTTAAGGCTAAGATTTATATTTGAAATTTCGCACTGAGAGTACTTTATTGATTTTTTAAGAGCTATAAAAATGATTAGGAAAACGAGTATCTAGAAAGTGGGTAGGTGGGATGACCATAGGAAAGGAGCATGGGGAGAGAAAATTGTCTTCATTTTGTTTTTCTTTTTGTTTGAAGCTTTCTTTCTCACTCGTCATCGTAGATGTTTCGTTCACTCAGGTGTGTTTAAAACAAAGTGAACCTGGGTATTCAGCGTTTCCACACCAGTCTACAGTGTTCTTATTATTAACCTTTTTTATGAACTTCATTGTGGACAACATTTTAAAGTCAGCTAGTTTTCCATCTGAATGAACACCCCATCTGTGTGCTGTCGGATTTTTAGTCTGCATAGACTGCAGTTTCCATTAGTGGACACGAAGAGGAAATATCTTAGCTCACGATGAGAATTAGTTTATTTTTCTTTCTCACTTATTTGGTGAAGGAATATTCATGTCAAGCTGTCATTTCAGTTCTTTCACTTCATTTCACATTCATTTGGATCCAACGTTCGACGCTCCATGAGTGTTTTTCTTCCGAACATTTTTGAGCCCTCAGTTCTCACGGCGGTATTCTTTCGGACGAGTTTCTCGGAGTATTTTTTGCAAACAGATCCTTGCATTTGCTTAACGACTACTCATTTATCGTTCCTCAAAACAATGAAATTGCTAAAATTGCTTCCATTTTCTCTGTCCTGCGTCGAAAAGACGTATTATGGTAACAATGTAGGAAAGGGGTTGAGAGGTATGAAGGAATGCCTCTAGAAAGAGGTTGATAGGTGCGAAGAAAATGCCCTTAGCAAGTGGTTAAGTGGTTGGAAGGAAATACCTCTATTTTGTCTACACCAATAAATTCTGTGGGTGATTCTTTACTCTTTTTGTGTGTTTTACTAGTTGTAACTTAGCTCCGGTGTGCCATTTGAGAAAAGTAGTTTTAATTTCTCGTTAAATTAAAATGATTTTTTTCCTCCTTTGCTAAGCATGTTCGACCATTGCAATTTTAGAAAATAAAACTCTATCCTCCCCTCTCTCCCACTCCCTGTCTCCTCTAAACGCTCTCTCTAAAACGCTTTAAAAATGGCTGTGAAACTATGGATAAATTAGTGTCGAATTACATTTTTGGGGTTTGCTTTTCGGTGGAAACTGCATTATCTGCATATCTTCGCATCATTTGTCGTGCATGTCTCGTGGTTAATGACGCTCTACTGGTCGAATGTTCGATATCGCGCCCGAGCAAATCAAGCCCTCGATCTTCCCTGAGTCGGCAAATTGGTAGCTGATCTGTTTGCGAGGGTAGAACACCGACTTGATTGATCAGTAGGCCTCATAGTTATCAAATAAACGTCTAAGTTCTTAAATTCTTGTATCAAATTCACTGTTTTTCCCATCATTAGGAGATGTGCTCACGTGGATTTATTTGCTGGAAAATCAAGTAGAACTGAAGAACGTCAATATGGAATGACGTGGTGGTGCAAATAAGATGTCTTCTTTTCATCCCTCCGTTTTTAGTTGTTTACTCGCAACGGTAAAGTGCTGTTGGAAAAGGGAGCGTTGTCATTTGGCAACGAAATTATCGGATGCCCCGTTTTTCAGGATGTATGTTAAGCGAGTTATTTGCCGACTTAGTATGGAATGGCGTTCGCTAAAGATATCGAAAGTATGAACTGTATTTAAGAGTAAAAGCTAAAGCTCTCGGTGTTGATCAATCCCTAAAGGATGCTCCATGCATTCGACATTAAGCATCGTTTGGAGGTGATTGAATGCATATGTGGCCTTTACAATGACTCGCAGTGGCCTACCGATCTATCGAGCCAGTACTGCTATCCTCGCAGACAAGTCTGGTACCAATTTGCCGACCCCGGCGGGAAGGATATCTTGGTGGGCCATGGCCGCGGGGATCGATTCCACGTGTTTGTTGCACAGCGCCTCCCACCACTACGCCTGCACGTTCCTTAGGACTACATTGTAAAAAGGGGACACCTCTTCAATCCATTGTTACCATTGTTCTATGAAGAGAAATCGATGTAATATGAACAAAAAAGGATAAAAACAGTATTGATCAGTCTGTTAGGGATGCGCCTTGCAATACACTCCATACGTAGAATCATAAAGGTGATTGAATGCATATTTGAACTATGCGATGATTTCCGTCAACTTACCAATGTATCAAGTCATCGTTTTGTTCTCCTGAATAGGTCCGAGAAAAATTTGCCAACCCTAGAAGAGTGCATACTCGGTTTTCCTCAGGCACGTGGTCGAACCTCGTGTGTACTGCAGGGCGCCTCTGATCAATGCTCTGCGCGCTTTCAAAAGTCTATAATAATCGAGGACACTTTTTAAATAAACTGTATCCGGTTCTGTTGTTCTTAGTAACAAACACACTACCTGTGCTCACAAATACAGATTTGTTTCTACGACATCTTCTTTCTCACCAAAGTTTGTTTTTAGCTCGTGGTATCTTCAATATTTAGGTATTTTCAGGCTTAACAGATAAACGCCTCGCAGATTTCTACCGCTGAGTTCCTAGAAATTATTGGTGTCTCTATTACCAATTAGAATAGAATATGAAGTCGTAGAGAAACTTTACTTTTATTACTTCCTCTTGCTGTCCGTGATGTCAGTTAAAATGTTTGGATACTGCAAAAGTAGATATAGAAGAATAGCCTTTTATGACGGCGAATTGACCGTCTTTTGTTTTTCCCCTGCTAAAAGTTGGTTTCCTCCCAACTGTTTACCGCCTCGTCGTGGCTGGGAGGTGTTCTTGGGTGTCGGACTGCAATGTACAGCGGGGGATTCATCTCTCGGCAGGGTCTCCAAAGCTGAGAGGGAGTCCGACGTTTCCATCAGGAAGCCTAGCTAAGAGTAAACCAGTTCCAGGATCCACCACCGTTCTAGTATCAAAGTCGCATGTTGGCAAATCTTCCGCTGATTCACAAAGGCTGCGACTGCCTGTGGTGGTGAAGACCTGGGGCAGACTTTGGCCAGGCTAACCTCGGGATTCCTGGGAACTACAATGTGGCTTAACCAGCAAATCTCCGAAGAATAGAGATCGTACTGGAGCCCGTACAACCAATAAGGACGGGCCATTCAAGTGTCAAGTGTCAAAAGTTGGTTTTGTCTGGAAAAGAACCTATTTGTCGAAATTAAAGATGTAACTATATCACATTCCATTTCCATTTACCTCGAAACAGTTGTACTCATTTCGCTCATAAATCTTTCTGTGACACCGTCCTATCTTCCAAAGCGCATTCGGTTTCCCATTCTTCAAGCAACGAATGCAAAAAGCGAAGTGCTCATCAATATTCTCTGAAGTAGCTGCAGTAGAAAAGCTAAAATCACTAAATACAAGTGCGTTATTTCTGATCTACAATTTTTTTCGGGTTCCAGGTAAAGTCAGTGCTCCCAGGTGGTTTGGCTGCTGAAGATGGCGTATTGCGTCCAGGTGACGTACTCGTACGCGTCAACGGTGAACTACTACTGGGTGCTTCACAATCTGACGCTTGTCGGATATTCGTCAACATACCTGTCGGCGATCCGGTAGCCATTCAAGTCTGCCGAGGCTATCCGCTATTGATTGATCCGTCGAATAGAGTGAGTTGTGGTAAAATCTATTTGTGATGAAATTGTTTTTGTTCACAAAGTAAATTTAAGTTATAAGCTTTAAACTGTTTACGTGAGAACTGCTTTGGACATTTATTTGCTCGCATCACCTGAAATCCTTTTAATTATAGGTTTACTTTAACTGAAACAAGCAAAGCCCCGATTAATGGCTGTCAGACCCTATTCGCCAACTCTATGTCTTTTTTCATTTATATGACCTATTTCAGCACATTATACCGAAGTTATGACTTCGTCCGTTCGATTCGTTGTCATGCATCCTCATCCATAGGTTCCGCTATCACCTTAGGAGTTTATCTTCTTCCTTTAATGCTGATGAACGCTACTGGTTCTGGAATTCCTACTACAAATTATCGTAGGCTTTGTGAATTGGATCGGATAGAGCTTTCTTCAAACCTTGTTGCAATCTACCGGGCAGGTGCCAGGGAACTGGTTAGCTACTAGATAGCTTGGCGTGAAATCGATTCAGCGGTCATGCCTATACTGCAATATATTTCAATTTGAAATCCAGAAATACCACTTGTTCATTTGTTCAAACCTGATATTCTACATTGACGAGGATCAACACAGAAGTTTAGCTCGGAATATGAGTCCATTTATAAGTACCATCGAACTCGTTTAGAACTTACTAAGATGAACTCCAGTTGGACTCATACCGACCGATTCAAGTTACATAGGCCATGTTGGTACGCACATTACTAAGTACAGTTCTACTTCTGTAGTTTTCACTGACGTCTTTATCGTGCATACCTCACCACATTCTTTTTTCTTGCGTGCAAGGACATCATCACGAATGCAAAGTTAAACATTTTTCGCCTTAATCATTTACGTATCATTTTAATAGCCTAACCATTGGTTTTGTTCTTTTTCCAGGACTGTACCTTGTGCCACGTAGCGCAGTAGTTAGAGGTACTCTGTGATAGAAAATTGTTTTTGGTTCGATCCAACATAAGTAAATAGTCGATTGACGTTGATACCAGACTTGTCTGAAAGGAAAAAACACCTTGACGTGATACATTCACAAGTCTCTATAATTCATTTCATAAGCTGCATTTGCATTTCATCCCACCTCTACGCTGCTACGAATGGAGTGCAATTCATGGGCCAATTCTCATGATTGATCAAGGTCGACCACTTTTTCCTTTTCTCTGTCTATTTACCTAATTGTTCCAGGTTTCCTGTACAAATACGTGTTTTTTAAATAAAACGCAGTGGAACAACCAGTGCTAACTGCGGAGGGATTCACATGAATAGTCATTGTTTCTATTTCATTCACCTTTTCACCTACACTTGTCATCCTCATCGTTTCCAATTCATTCGCGACCTCCATCCTTGTTAGTGTGTATGTTCACTGTAGATCAGTGTGAAGGAACTTTGTTTTTCCTTTAAAGTCTCCTATAGGTAGTGTTTGTTTTTCCTTAATGTTTGGGAAGTACGTTATTTTTTTTTAAAGAATTGGTGGAGTGATATGATTTCTAATTGATTCGTCCTGATTGTAGGTTTTTTTCGTTTAGATCATCACCGAAAACGTTTATCAAACGGGTGGACGAAGTCGTGACTTGCACGAAATCGAAATCATCAAAGGCACAGAAGGGTTTGGTTTCACGATCGCTGACAGCGCTACAGTAAGCTGGATTGGTCTTGTCGCATACTTTTTCTTCTATGGACCTTGTAGACGCTAATAATCAAAACAGTATTAGTAATTGACTTATTTGTTTATTTATTTGTTTATTCTATATTCTTTGAGGATCACATGCTGTCGATTTTTCCATCATTAAAAAGTACATAAAAATTCCATTCTATGCTGTAAATCTAAGCGAAGCAATTGTTTCGTTTAGATTTACAGCATGGAATGTTTGGCTCTGTGTTTAATTTTATTAGCGCTCGGCGTAAAAGTATCCATACTGCTTTTTTAAAGGTGTTAAGGAGAAAAATACGATTTCCATCTGGATTAGTGCCCTTCACTGAGCTAAGATGTATTTGACTACCTATGAAAAGCCAAGTCGCATTTAAGCTGTATATATGAGTCCTATATGATTCATGTGGTCGCGGAAATGAATGGGCTTGTTTTAATTGTATAAGAAACACTTTTATCTCTAATCATCAACAGTGTTCTCTATTCTTTTTCGTTTAGGGTCAGCGTGTGAAGAAAATCCTGTATCCGGAGCAATGCGCTAATCTATTAGAGGGTGATACGATCGTTGAATTAGATGGCCGTAACGTACGGGCCGTACCCCATACCCAATTGGTTGACATGCTTCGTGAATGCCCAGTTGGTCATCGAGGTCGACTAGTGGTCAGAAGGAGTTCACCGAAACACAGGTGAGACAGATGTGTTGAAATTCATGGCAACGTCTACACTGAACAATGCTGCCACATATCTCAAGTGTCACCCCTATAAAGAGCGAAGTTGTTGTTTTATTTACACTTTAAATTTTACATGATCAATCATTACATCTACTGCGCAGATCTCAGCATTTCAATTCGTTTTCCTTGCATTCGTCTTCCTGGCATTCATCATCCACAGTAATCTTCCAACATTTCGCATGCTGTTTCGATCGCTGCATGGGGATTTCGTTTCTTTTATGAATATCGTAGAATGCTGGTCAAGTGAATTCTCTTTGAAATATATCTGGGCACGTAGAGTTCCCACGCGAATTGGAGAGAGCGTTGGGACGGTGGTCGAACTAGGGTCTTCTCTTCCTGTTCGACGGCATCACTAAGCACTGCGTTATGGTCGCTCCTCAAGTCCTCGTAGTTTAGTGAAATCACGGCAGTTATTTTTGTAATGCATTCTTTATTAGATGGTTAAAAAATTTTGGTCTAGACACCGTAGTCCATCACCGTCTTGCAGCACTCAGCACTTAGTTCAGAACTACAGATCTTTACTCCATGCCTAAAATTTCTTTAAACATGGTTATGAAACGAGAGTTTTAGTCGTTTTTATGTCATCTTTTTGTGATTAACTATGCTCCCAAGATCGACTTTCTCTTAACCTCGGCATTGGAATATGAATGTGTCGTTTTCTTGTTCAGCAATCGCGAGGTTTTTAAACAGCATACATTTACTTCCATAAAAACACAATACAATACAACGCTAGCTGACGTTTCGGCAGTATCGCCTTCTTCAGAGCCGCTTTTTCGTGACTTCCAATGAGAGTCGTCAACCACATGCGACTATAATCAGCTGTTCTAAACTTCCTCATTGGAAGTCACGAAAA